CACAAGAGATGCGGGCGCGTGCACCCTCGCTGGTTTCCTTTCCTCTCCAAAGTCCCCTGGGCTGGAACTTGCATCTTGTGCAGCCCTAAGGAAACACCTTGAGGAAGAGGCTTCACAGCCTGTGATGGTGGGGAGCTCCTTGCTCAACGCCAGCCTGATCTCCCGCCAGGCCAGGTCCCTCTTGCCTGGTTGGGGGCGTGGGGGGTGTTGCACTCCTGGCCCCTCTGCCTGGGAGAGCCTAGCCTGGCCAGCATCCCCTCTGTCTGGCTGCTCTGCTGGGTCCCGGTGGCTGCACCACCTCTGAGCAGTGAGAAAGGGCAAAGGTCACTTTAGGGGGGTCTCTTGCCTGCCCCCAGGCCTGGGCAGAGCCATGGGGCAGTCCTTCCTAGGGCATCCTGGCTGGCATGTCCTGCCTGGCAGACAGGAGCCATTGAGCGGACGAGCCAAGAGGGATCAGGGCCAGATCCATGCACAGCCACAAGAGCCTGGCCAGCCCTGCACCATCGGGGTGAGTACAGAGCCCCTGGCCCAGCCTGCCCAGGACTTGCCAGCTCACACACTGACCTCCATCCCCTGCTCCTCCATTAGCTGCACCCCAAGACCTGCCCCCTCCGGTCATGCCTTTGGGGACCCTGCTTGGCAAGGACCCTATTCTGACATGGCCTTACTGGCAGGGGGGTGTGGGGCAGCCCCCAGGCTGGGGCCAGGAGGAGGCATGGGCGTCTCCAGAGAGAAGCAGAGTCAAGAGCTGAATGGGGAAGAGGATCAAAGGAGCTACTGGAAATCCAGCTCTGGCAAGCCCAGGCGGCCACAGCCCTGGAGCCAACAGACCAGCTGCTGCCACTGCCACCCACATCCAGCCCCCGGGGCCAGGCAGAGCCAGTTCCTGGTTTGGAGCAAAGCAGAGGGGAAGGGTCAAATGTGACAAGGACGCTGGGCAGGGTGTGCATGTGTGCGAGTGCACGCACATGCAAAGGCAGGCGTGCGAGTGCAGGCCTGTGTGCGTGCGTGCGAGAGATGGGGGGAGGGCGGCGTCTTTGGCTCAGGAATTTCAAAGCACTTCAGCAGAGAATTCCGCATAAAAGCCTCTCTCGGAGCCAGGAAGTCCTGCAAAAGAAGCACGGGAGCATGAGCAGGAGCCAGAACCCAGGTGTCCCGACACTCACGCCTCTCGCAGAAATAGGCAGGGAACCCAGGCGTCCTGGCTCTCGTGCCTTTCCCTGCAGTGGGGAGAGAAGCCAGGCACCAGCCCCTCTCTGCCCAGACCCAGGAGCCGAGCCTCCCACTTCTACACTCCCTTCCCAAGGTGGGGGGGGAACTTGCAGGCCCCATTGCCCAAGATCCTGCCTTTGCCCCCACCCACAGCTCTCTCTGTCCCCAACTTTCCAGGGGGCTGGACAGGTTTGGTACCCTCCAGAGAGGTCGGTGCTGAGCGCCAGCACGGGATGCTCCATTCCCACAGGCCCCCAGAGGTCTGAGCATGCAGGAAAACCCTTTCCCCATCAGGGCTTCAGGATGGATGGGGGTTTCCCAGTCCTCCAGACTGTCCTGAGAGCTGACAGGCATGGCCCCAGCTCCATCCAGACGGGAGCAGCCTGGATGGGTGCTGCAGACGTAGCTGGAGCCCCGTGTTCCCCGTGGACTCACCTGGCCTAGGTGAGGAGCTGAGGTGTGCTCAGCTGGATCTGGGCATAGATGCTGCTGACCGGCGTCGGCAGCAGAAGGCTCTGAGCAGGGCTGTCAGGCGGGGAGCTCAGGATCTGCAAGAGAAGGATGAGGCAGAAGTGGAAACAGCTGTTGGATCAGCGCTGGCTGCAGGGGCTGCCCTTGCCAGGTCCCCTGCAGGGATCAGCCGGGAGGTCCATGACCGAGGGCGCTCCCGGCTGGAACAAGACCAGGGAAAAATCCCCACGGACCTGCCAGTCCTGGGAAACACCCTGCATCCAGCCCGGCTGAAGAGAGCCAGTGAAGCCAAGGGGTTTTGCCAAAGTAAAAAATAGATGAGATGGAAGTGCCAGCTTTGTCCCATCCTTGGATACAGCTGCCTCTGGGGTGGGGCCTGACAGCTTCATAACAGCTGCAGAGGACTTTAGGACAAGAGGTGAAGACTATGCCGCTCCCGTGCAAAGGGGGATGTCTTGGCGTCAGACTCAGGCAACAGTGCCCTGTCTGGGTGGCACAGGAGAGCTCTGCCAGGCTCCCTGGGATGTCTCCCAGCAGCCGGGAGAAGGAAGCTGGCAGCCATGATAACATCTCCCAGCTGGCAAGAAGGGGTGATGAGGGCAGCTGCAGGCTCCCGGTCCCTGATGAGGCATTTCGTGCAGCTGGAAGACAAAGGGCCCCTGCCACGAACAAGCTGGTGGGAAACGGTATGGGGTCAAGAGGATGGGGGCAAGGCCAGGGTCTGGTGGGTCTGGGGATCCCCGCGCTGTACAAGTCTCCATGGGCAGAGAGCACAAGGACATCTCCTCCTGCAGGGACTCACCTGCTTATCTCCCTCTGGCGGTCTCCTCCTCTTGATCTCCGTGTACTGGGGCTCACTGGGACAGTCTTGCATGGGGGCTGAGGAGAGGGCAGGATTATCATGTATTGTGATCAGGCCTCTTCACTGAATAACAAACCCCATCTCATCCCATTTCACAGATGGGAAAACTGAGGCATAAGGCAAGAATTTGCCCAGAGGCACCTAGCAGCAAAGTAGGGAGCAGGACCCAGCCCTCCCAAGGACCGTTCCAGTGCTGGGTCGGGTCGCTGAGATGGAGCTCCTGTGAAGAGCAGGGACCCACCTCTCCCAGCTGCCTTCCTCTTCCTTCTCCTCCTCCAGAACCAGGCCCCGAAGCACATGGCCATGGTGACAATCAGCCCAATGGACAGGAAGCACCACATGGTGGCATCTGCAACTAAAAAAACAACAATCGCTCACCATCTCCCAGAGTGGTCCAGTGCAGGGAAAGATGTGCCCCCCACCCCTGCGCAACATACCACAGCCTGGCAAGAGCTGGGGGCCTGTGACAGCTCTTGGTGCCAAGCAGATCCTACAAACAAGGATTTGGGACCAGGGGAACATCTGGCCAGATGCTTTAGAGATGAAGCATGGTGCCCAAATGTTCCCCAGGGGATTTAGGCACCTCTGCTCCTCATTGCTTTCAATGGGAAGTTTAGGATCCAAGTCCCATTGAAACCAAAGGCAATTGCAGTGCCCAAACCCCCTTGGGTCTGTGCCCCTGAGGAGCTTGCAATGGCATGAATCAGTTCCCAGGCTGGCAGGGGAATTGCTTGGTGGGTCCTGACCTCCAGGGCTCGGTTTGGCAGCAGGTTTTAAAAGGGGATGGGGATTATGAGGAAACAGGATCCATGTGTGCTGTGCAAATACATGCGCATGGCCAGGAACCAGCTGCCTCCCGGGTTCCCCTCCCCTCACCCATCGGCTGCTCAACTGAATCCACCAGGAGAACAGGTCTCACGTGTGGTGTTGCTTGGGCAGAGGCTCTGCAAGGCCACAGAGGTGCTTTTCCGGTTGGCGGGGTTGCTAGCGCTGCAGGTGTAGGTGTCATTCCAGGTGCCCGGGGGCAGAGCCAGGTGCAGGCTCTGGCCATCAGCCGAGACGTGGTGCCATGCCAGATCTTGCGGGTGGTCTCTTGTGCCCCAGGTGATGTTCATGGCAGCTGTGGTGGGCACCTGGCAGTGCAGCGTGAGGTTGCACCAGCCTGGTGTGCTGGGGTGCACCTGGCTCAGGATCTCGGGTGCTGGCACCAGCTCTGAGTTTGAAACAAGCCAACCATAGGTGTTGGCACTGGAGGCTCTGAACTGCCTGGCTTCCCCAGCCATCATCCTCCCTGCTCGACCAGAGCCACCTCTCCCAGGTGAGTCTGGCTCTAGGCAGCAGAACATTGGACCCCCTCAGACATGTCCCTGAGACCCTGAGGGCAGCTTGCCCTGAGTGCCCGTCTGGCTCTGCCCCTGGGCCTAGGTCCTAGGGGGGCAGACTGGGCCTTGGGGGTACAGACGGGAGGGCTGCAATCCTCCCCTGTACCCATTTTGGAAGCCAGATGGGCTGCACAGGGGCCCAGCACTAAGCATTGCCCCCCAGCCCCATACCGTAGATGGCGAGGTGGAAGTGATAGTCCCTCACAGTCGCTGGGTGCAGTTTCACGCGGGCACTGTACATGCCACCATCCTCCTTCTTCAGCTCCCGGATGCCCAGTGTCGTGGCATTGGGCACCTCTAGGCGCTGCCCAAATTGGTCACCGGGATCCAGCTGCTTCAGCCGCCCGGTGCTGAACTCTGCTACCATGATGGCGCTGCCCGCCCCTGTGCTGAAGCTCCATTCTGTCGCCCTCACCAACACTTCTGGAGGCAGGGACACGGACAGCCAGGCCGAGCCGCCCACCACCCGATTCATTCGGTGGGCTGTGGGCTGTGCAGTGGTCATCGTGAGACCTTAAGAAACAGGACAATTAAAAAAGTAAGAAACGGTTGTAACAAGGGGGCCACAGTGCTGTAGGCAGAGCCCCTGGAGGCGGCCAGATGTGTCATGGAGCCCATTTATCTCCCTATGACATGAAAGGCGGGAAGTGTTCCCCTACCTTGAATCTCACTGATGACCAAGACCCCAGGACACCTCCGTCTCAGCTCCCTACTTTTTCCACTCTCCCCACCCAGCACAGCCCTGCTGTTGCAGCGAGACCCCGGCCCCTCTTCCCCGCAATCCTGAGCCCACTCTGCTGCATCGCTGTGCCTGGCTAAGCCTCAATCCTGCCCCACCCCAGAAGCGATTACTTTTCCATCTTATTCTGGCTCCTCCCGAATAAGTCCCAGAGTCAATGCCTGCCAGTGGATTTGGGAGTATCCGAAGTCCCGGTGTGAGAGGTCTGGGATGGAGGATGGAGGCTGCTTGCTGGTTGTAGCACTATACGTGGTGTTTAGTATGACTGAGCTCAGTCAATATGTTTTTTGGAAAGATTGAGTTCTGCTCAATCTATATGATTTGGATGATCTGACTGGGCATATGAAATAAATATATTATTAAAAAAAAAGTTAGTCCCAGCCTGAGTGGCGGGGAGGCAGGGAACAGCCAATCCAGAAACAACGTGTCCTGCATGCTGTCAGCACAAGGAATTTATTCCATGTCTCCTGAGTCCCAGTGCAGGGCCAGTGTCCCAAACCCTCCCACCCAGCTCCCAATCCAGCCCCTTTCCCCAGCCCCAGTTCCCATCCCTAGTGTCATTTCCACCTGAGTGAGAACCGTGGGATTTGGCTCCAATTTTCTTGAAGAGGTTTGGGATGGGGAAGGCGATGCAAAAGTTGGGTATTACTAAATTTGAATCTAATCGCCCTCCCCTCCCCCCCTCCATCCCCCCAGCCCAGCAGCCTCTGCTTATCACTCAGATCCAGGGCTTTGAAAGGGACAGGCAGATGCAATTACACAGAGGAAGGAAGATCAGGCTTCCACATCACAGAGCCAATTTTGTATTAAAGCTTCTGGTGGCCAAACTTATGAGACGCTGATTTCCTGCACTATGCAGAGCTCGTCTCCAGAAGGTGGGGGAAGGGGGCGACTTCTTAATGACGTTTAATTATTTCTCAGCTCTGAGCTTGGCCAGGTGGATTTGTCTGCCTGTCTCTTGCTTCTTTGTACACACTGTGGGTCAGTCAACGAGGTTGATTTGGTTTGCAAAGTCTGCAAGCTGAAATGACAGGGAACCACAGCCCAGCGCAGAACCCGGCAAACCACAGGCTGGGTTGTAACAGGCGCACGCCCAGCACATGCCGGCACTGGGTGCATGGAGCTGCAGGCTTTGGGGGCTGAGAGACGCGTGCCACACACAGACACCCCCCCCCTCTGAAACCCACCACCAACCAGCCCTTTGGAGAAACACCAGAGTCTCGCTCCGGCTGAAGCCCCTTTGTGCAGCTTGTATAGCACAAAAGGCAGCTGCTGCTATGCCGCACGCTCCAGCTTGCACCCCGCTTTCTACCCTGACCACAACACCCAGTGGTCTCTATTATATGAAAATAATCTAGAGCAGGAGCAGAGGTGTGGGTTTATCAGCCGCTCATGGTAGCTCGGCAATCAGGCCCCAGGCCAGGCTATGCTCAGCCTCTGTATTAGCTTGTGCAATAATTTCAGCCCAGCCTAAGCAGGTGTGAAATGCTGGTTTGCCAACAACAGAGAACCAGGATGCACCAGCCTGTGCTGATCCTGGTGTCTGGGTTAGCTCCAGTGCCACCTGTGTCCTTCTGCCAGGAACAGGTTGTCGTCCTGGAGGTGTGCCAGAGGCGAGGCCTCTGTTTCCACGTACTGCATTCACTAGCTACAGAATAATAAACTAGTCCTAATATTTATCCTCAAACATTGTCTCTGCAGCTCGCAGCCTCACCAGCCTCTGCTCAGCTACCTGCCTGCTGGCTCAAGGCCGGGGCTTTCCCTTGGCAGGTCTTGCTGTCAGCGTTACATACTCTCTGGCCCCCTCCAGCTGTGCCTGGGGCTGCGACGTGTTGCAGAACAGCAGAACAGTGCCATTTTAGATCTGCTTTGGAGGGGATAAATGACAGCACATGCTGCTGGGCACCAGAGGATCAAATCTGTGGAGTTTAACCTTAAAATAGATCTGGGGCTGTCATCCTAAGCCTGACATGTGTGGAGCATTAAGGTTTTATTTAGCCACGGGACTGATCCAGAACGGTTTGCCTGGCCCCCTCCAGTTCAGGGAGTTCTGACCCACAGCTGCATTTCAACAGCTGGATTGGAGGCAGGTTGGGAACCCTGCCTTGGTCTTTGGGGGAGGTGAATGCAGAGACCTGGGTCAGCCTCCAGGGAGATCTTTTCTATAACAAGGATGAATGAATGTATGCTATTCAATGCCATCTGTATTCACTGTTCAATGCCACATCAGCCCCTTATCCACAAGCCCTGGGAGGGAGCATGAGGAGCTGCACTGCTGCCAGGACAGGGTGGAATTGCAGAGGCAGCCTCTGCTTCTGCAAAAGGGGCAAAAATTAGAGGTCCCAACCCCACACCCAGGGGCCCTGAGCCTTGTGCGAGTGGCATCCAGCACCTTGTCTAACTGGCAGACGTCTGCAGAAGAGAAGACAGAGGAGGGCTTTAACAGCAGCCTTCAACTACCTGAAGGGTGTTTGCAAAGAAGATGAAGCCAGGCTAGCAGTTTTTGTGGTCCACTGACCCCTGGAGATGTGCACGTTATGCCTAAGGGGTCCATGAAAAATGACTATGATCAATGAAAAGTACATGAATACCCATGCTTACAGTTCAAAAGGGTCCACACCTCCATTCGATTGTTTTTAGGGATCCACAAATGAAAAAAGGTTGAAAACTACTGAGCTGGACTGTTCTCAGTGGTGGTAGGTGACAAAACATGGAGCAAAAGACTCCAGTTGCCATAAGGGAGGCTGGATATTAGGAAAAAAACTCTCACGAGGAAGGTAGTAAAGCACTTGAGCAAGCAACCCAGAAAGGTGATGCAATCTCCATTCTTGGAGGTGTTTAAGACCCGGGTAGACAAAGCCTTGTTTGGGATGATGTTGTTGGGGCTGGTCCTACTTTGAGCAGGGGGTTGGACTAGATGTGACCTCTCAAGGTCCCTTCCCACCCTCATTTTCTGTGTCCCATGCCTGACTTCAGCCAGGAGCATTCACAGGACTCAGCCCTGCCGCTCTGCCTCTCCATTCCCTTACTCCAAAGCAGCATAAAGTATTCTTCTTTGAGATCTGCATGGTGGGGCCTCAAATTCAGGGCACCACAGTGTGAAACCACAGGCCAGGGCCAATTCCCTCTGACTTTGGCTAGAAACAGCTCCTTCCACCCCTGACCTAACCCACCAGGCATGAGACAAAGAGTTTTCTGCAGATTCCCCAGGCTGCAAAGTGATAGTTTCCCAAGACAGCTGGGACTTGTGCTGTGATTTCCTCTTGGGACTTTGAAAGGAAGAGGGAAGAGAGCTGCTTTGGGGGCTTTGTTTTAAACTTAAACTACAGAATAGCACCCTCCAGGACACAATGGAGACCAGCAGTTCTCAGCCTCTCCCTCATCTCGAATCAAATCAATAATTACAGGCATCTTAAATGTCCTGCCCCTAAGCTGGGGTCCCATCCTAACCCCACAGCTTCCATGCCAAGAACCCACACACTAGCCCTGCACTGAGATAAGGGGTAACATCTCCCAGATCCAGAACAAAGCAGGGGTGGGAACCAGCTCGGACTCTCCTCTGACAAGCCAAGAAAAAACCAAGAGCAAAACAAATCCAAAAAACCACTCAGAGAACCGAAGAAGCATTGCTCAGACCCTTTAGACTTAACACCCCGGGGCTGGATGAGTATTCAGAGCTGCAAAGCACTTCCAGCTCTAAGCAGAGCTGCTTTCCTTAATGCAGTGAATACACAAAAGAATCAAACAAAGAACTTTTTTTTCCAGCTATTTAGTTGGTCTAATAAAAGATATCGCATCCGCCCAAAGAACCTTGCTGGCAAGCGAATCGAGCAAACCCGCTGCGCCGGCAGAGACCAGCTCCTTTCCATCCACCCAGCCAGACAGACCCCAGCCACCATAAAGTTTTCCCAGGCTTGTGAGTTTGTTGGGTTTAGCAAGGATGAGAAGGTTTAAACTCCCCTCATGACCCTGGGGTTTCTGGTTTTAACCCAGAAATATGAAAATCTTCTAGAACTACAATTTATGAAAATTGGTGAATAAGCAGGTAAGGTAGAGCAGCTATTTCTCATGACTGGCTGCTGCATATAAAAAAAATAGCAGCCCAACAGCATTCGCCTAGCACCCAGCACCCTCCCCATCTCCCACCTGGTCTGACCTGCAGCACTTCAAGCCAGGCAGGAGCTTCTGTATCTCTCTAAATAGGTCAGCTGGGTGCTACCATAGGGGGAAAATGGGCAGAGGCAGCTGCAAACCTTCCCCTTGTTTGCCCCGATCTGTCTCCTGCCCTTATCTCAAGCTGCGAAGACGTGGACTACAAGCCAGCATTTGCCCACTCACCTGTCCAAGAGCTGAGCAGCAGCAAGGCAGGGACAGAGGCCACCTCCATGCTTTTCTCTCCACCTGGAGCTCAGAGCTCCCGAGCTAGAAGCAGCAGGACTAAAGAGCAGAGGGAAGAGTGGCTCCACCTCGCTAAGAATAAGTCACCTGTTTACTACTAAACACCTGGCTCCCTGCCTGCGTGTTAGCTTACCTGCCCAGCAGCCGATCAGTCTTAGTAGCATCCCTGGGGCCAGCAGGCTCTTGCAGGCCATGCCTTCAAGCACTAGCTGCCAAGATCTCGGAGCTGCAAATGCTCAAGGGGAAGTGAGAGTGCATGCTCATCTCCTCGCTCACTAAGCCTGCACGGGGAGGGGACATAGGTAGAAGCCAAGGGCTTTGCAAGCGTCACAGAACAGGCTGCCTCTCCCTTCCAGACACTTTTTGCACCCAGAGCCACATGCCCACAGCCCCTGGGGGATCTCAGTGCCTCTCCCAGCCCTCTCCCATCACCACCTGCTTCATATTTCTGTCCCTTTTAGCTCTCCCTCAGGCCGGCCACTCATAAAGCAGCCTCCCCAACGCTCTTTGCCGTGCCCAGCCAGGCGTGATGGTGGCAATTTTATAGATGCACCTATTCGTGGCACCCATTTGTCATCCCCCCGCCAGACAGGGCCATGGGCGGCACCCCAGGGGCCTGCAGCTCCCTTGTCACAAGAGCTCAGCTGCAGAGGGCAGGCGGCTGTCTCTCAAGCTGCAGGGCAGGTCACCCTTGCATTTCCTGCCTGTGGTCGACATGGCCTAGTTACACAGCAGCCTGCGCCACAGCAGTTTGACTAAGTCAGGCTTGACCGGACATGTGCTGATTACCTTGCCGGGGTAGCACGTGGCCTCTGCCCGCGACAGCGTGGCCTGTCCAGCTGCAGCAGGTGCCCGAGGGCAGGTCCTGCGCCGCCCTGGGCTGCAGTCCCACAGGAGACAGCGGCTGTTTGGACCAGAGCAGGCTGGAGGAAGACCGCCGGCAGGAAAGCGAAGCAGTCCCGGCTGAGACCGGGAACACCCAGCTCAGGAACGTGGCCCGCTTGTCTCAGGGGAGCCAGGCTGCAGCTCCCATCACTCGGGGGTGTCCAGCCTCCTCTGCCCTCAGACAGGAGAAACAAAGGACTGAGCTGTTTTTGGTTGGGGGAGGATGTAGATAGCTCTGGGATCACCTAATAGGGAAGTGGCAAGAGGTGAACTTCCCTGTTCCCAGGGCAGGATTGTCTGGGAATTCATAGCACCGGGGCTGAACAATGGGGCAGTAAGAACCAGAGATGCTCTTCTTCTTCCCCACCCACCTCACGTCCCCACAGACTACTGCAACCGGCTGCTAATTTTCATAATTTTCTTATATTTGCATGAACGCACAGGCACACCCCGTCGGGAACAGACGCCTGCCTTGCTACATGTGCTCACAGAAGTGGGGAAAAGAGGAGAGGACTCTGAGACATGTGGGGGTTGGGGTGATTTCTTCACACGTACACACACACACACACACACGCATATACACATGTACACACACATGTTTCACAGGAGATCTGCCTGCCAACTCATCCTCACTTGTTTCATCCTGATAATGCCCCATGTCCCAGCCCAGAGCCAGATCCCTTCTGGATCAAGGACAGAGGGGGTAACCCTAGCACCAGCGCTCCCCACCCATCCTAGCTGGATACACAGAGGGAAACGGGAATGGAGATACCCCCTTTACAGACAGCAGTAACTCCCCCCCAGGGCAAGAAGGGAGCAGGGCTGGGGATGAGGGTCTTGGACCCCCAGAAGGCTGCTCTGGGCAGGGCTCAGATCCACACTTCACCCCAGGCACTGATCCCACCCCACCGTGCGTCCCAACGCAGCTCTAGAGTTGCTAGGGAAGTGCGTGTGAGCAAAGTGCATCTCTTGACAGATGGTCAATACACCTTTCATCGGGATGCTTCACTCTGGGCTGAAGCCTGCTGCCATTGGTGGGAGGCGCAGGCCTTTCCCAGGCACTGATCCCACCCCGCTCCCATCCCATCCCAGCTCTAGGGAAGTGCATGTGAGCAAAGTACATTTCCTGGTCAATACACCTTTTATCAGGTTCCACCTGGTAACATGCAGCTCTTAGCACCTCCCTGCTAATTTGCTCACCAGCACATCTACTGTGGTCCTGGGAAGGGATACCTGTGAGCTTGGGGCTGCTCCTCCACCAGCCCCAGGCAGCCCCGCACCTTTCACCCACCCAGGAATATCATAGGGATGCTTCTTCCAGGCCCTGTGCCGCGTTGCAACCCCAGCCGGCCCTGTCACCCTCAGTCCCAACCAACTGCAGCTCACCCTTCCAGCTGTCTCTCTTTACCCTGCCAGCTTTTCCCCTCCCTAATGCTCCAGCTGCCTCTCCCCCTTGCTGCGACTGTACCCTGAAGCCAGGCAGCACTGACCCTCCCCACATCAAAGCTCTCATTAGCCGATCAGTCCTGCTTCTCTTTGCTGCGTTGCCGCTCACTGAGCACCACTGAACAATAAATGCAGCTCAAGGTCCCGGCACGTGGAGATCAATGGTTTCTTGTGGCCACATCCTGTTCAGAGTTGGGGAGGGGCACAGCAACCTGTCCTCTGCCACCACGATGCTCCACTTGCAGCCCCGCGGGGAGGGGGACCGTGGCTCTCTGCTTTGCTGACGTCCCTTCTGGATGGGCCATGCCCCCCAGTGCAGCCTGGCCCCTCTCCTTTCTGGCCTTTTTTCTCGGTGGCTTGCACCCCGGGAACCGCAGCCTCTGCTCCCACCGCAGCCAGCTTCATTGCCTTAGCTCCAGTCCCTTTTTCCCCAGCAGGCTCCGGGGGCACAGGGAAGGTTGTAAAACACAAGGTGGTGGGAGAGCCATGGGGCAGGAGAGCACCAGGTGAGCTGAAGCCAGGGTGCTGGGTGGCAACGACCGCGCAGCTCCCACTCAGCTGGGTCCTGGGGAAAGGAGAAAGGTCCCTGAGGCCACTCATAGGGGTGTAGGGTCCCCTGGTCCAGGCCCTGTCCCGAGACACGCTCACATGCTCCCAAACCCCTTAGACAAACAAGTTCCAGCACAGGCGAGTCTAGAGATCCCATCTGTTGCTCAGGCCATTTCCTAAATGGACACTGGGGATGGCTGAGCCCTGTTCTGGTTGCAGCCCTTGTTCACATGCTTTGCCCCATCCCTGGGAGAAATCCGGATCAGGTTCATCTCCACCGGGTGTAAATGGAATGGCTTGTGCCAATGTAACCGACTCAGTTCCTGATCCAATTTCAAGTGAAACCAGCACAGCCAAGTGTAGACTAGGCCTGAACCCCTCTATCCCCCAGAAGCTTGGTCCTGGGGTCCCCATGCAGCGAGGGGCCCATGATAACAGGCTCAGAAGAGCATCCTCTCCCGGCCTTCCCAGCCCCTGGGGACCTCGCTTCTCCCTTGATCTGTTGGAAAGCAGGGGCGCGTGCCCTTACGTTGCTCAGTTTAGGTGACCTCGGCTGCGTTTGCTGGGGTCGGGCGGATCTGGTCGTACACGGTGGTGATGAGTGCCTCCTTCTGCGAGCGCCGGTCCACGGTGCCATCCAGGTGCCGCAGGGCCTGAGGTTGAAGTGGAGAGGAGGCCGTCACCATTGCTTGGCCAGCTGACTGTGGGCTGGTCTGCCCCCCCCCCCAGGCTGCCAGTGGGGCTGAACCATGGGCTTCCCCTGGCATAGTATGCCCTCTCTGCCCCAGTGAGGGGCAACACACCAGGGAGGGGAGCATCAACCCTGCTAAAGGGGTATGCAGCAGAGAGCAGCAGCTCCTAGAGAGGTCACAGAAGTACACACCATATCCACCCCCCATACACACACACACATCACAGCGATGGGAGCAAGGCAGAGGCCACCACAGCCCTGCACCTGAAGTGGAGACATAGCAGTGAGCAGCTCCCAGGACAAGATGCACACGTGCCCACTTGTGCACTGCTGGCTCCAGCT